TTAAACACTTATTAATATGAGCATATATCCCATCTCTCCAGAACCCAAGTACAGTATTGGTGGGCACATCTTTCAGAGGCCCATTTGGTGCCACTCTGATGTAAAGCTAAAACAAAATAAGGAGGCGGCAGTGCTAGAGACCAGCCTTTACTAAGACTCTGCATCACAAGTTGCCTGAACACTTAGAAGGCTCAGGTCTGGACTCTTAATGCATTCTTACATTTGACTCCCTTTCTCCCACGGTTAGCAGTTTGGAACTGAACTGTCTCATCCAGGTTTATCTTAAACCTGTTTCAGCCATTTTGAAAGTGGTTTATGTGCACTGACGTTCCAATGTGATAGAGATCTGAACTAGTTTCCAATCATTTATACCAGTTTGTGTGTAACTTCTGCCCCTAGCCTAGAAGTCATGCAGAGATAGTTTAAAAGCCCTGAAAAAAGTCAACCCTGATTCAAACCAACAATCAAAGACTCCCAAATTCACTAGCATAGATCTAGGACTCCAGCACCCCTGGAATGAACCTCCAAGGGGGTTCACTGTTTAAACTGCCTCAGGCCCAAGGACCTCAGGTTGGATGGCATAGGGAGCCAGTTAATTCTTCAAGACGGCAGGAAAAGAGAGACATGAGCCATGGAAAATCTTGGTGCTACTGACAAATAAGAAAAAAAAAGGTATTTTCAGTCAGCAACTATAGATCTATTGGGGAGTATGGTTCATTTTGCAAACAGAAGGCAGGATAGATATGCACCTTTATAAACAAAGTAAATTTACAGTGTGTGGGTGGGAAGTGTGGATGTATGCACACGTGCATACACACATGTCCCCCCACCCACCACAGGAGGTATATTCTTAAATATTTTCTGGACTCCTAGACTAGATTTGGTCATCTAAATCCACAAAATACCGCTTATACACAGAATAGTAATCTATTTCTCAGTAGGCACATCTACACATGCACTTTATTACAGAGTTGACTAATTAGTAACTTACTTTGCCGAAACACATGTAGATGGTGACAGGGGCTGGCTGGGGCACAAAATGTGGGGACTGCTTGCTGCCTACCCCCACACTTTAGCACTTATACCCCAGCAAGCCCCTCTGCTGCTTGATGCCACCACCCAGAGCCCAGAGCTGACACCCTCCCCCTGCAACCTAATGCCAACTTGGGGCTGCTCCACTCTGGCTCAGACTGCAGTGGTACCAGGCTCACGTACAGATGCTGTGCCCAGGAGCAGCTGGCTCCAGTGTGAACTGTGCCAGAGTGTATTGCTCTGCATTAATAGCATGTGTAGAGGTACCCAGTGTGTTGATAACCATCATGTGTATACAGCTACACATGCAGGAAGTGAAGCCCAATCTGCATTTAAGTGACATTTTTGGGACTTAGATGAACATGAAGATGACCAAATCTGGTTCTGTAAATATTTGGAAAAAAACAGAATGCTTTCCAAATGAGAATTTTGGACAGTCCAGTTCATGGGAAATTTTGGAAAAAAAGATTTGATTCTGAATCACACAGTTGTGTTCTGAAACCTTTCCCACACTGGAGGTCCCAAGTTCTGGCCAACTCGTAAGATTGTTGAAGTTTGTTAACAGTTTAAAAACTTAAAACTGGAAGAGTCATATCCTATCTCCATGACAGAATAAAATTTAATAAAAATAATCCAAACGACTTAATTTAATAAAAGAAGAACAGGCATTTCTGGCAAGATAATAGCTATGAGCTAAGAAAACCAACAACCCTAAAACCCAAATCTCTCCTGCTTCCTTACTGCAATAAAAAAAAAATAGAGAAGTATGAAGGCTTGTTAGTTCTAGGCTACTGCTGTGGCTCTAAGCAAGAATGATAACAAGAAATCATTACCACAAGGCATTTATTCAACAGGTTCTCCCCCTTAGGTTGTTCTCCTAACCTAAATGACTTAGCATGGAAGAAGCTTACATTGCCATGGCTTTCTCTTTTGCATAAGGTTTTCTTCCACTGATAAAGCTGAAATTCTGTGCCAAGAGTGAATTGAATTTTTAAAATATAAAAGGTTTTAAACATGCTAGGAACAAAGGTACTTCTTTCCAAAGAAAGTTACATCATATGCAAAACAGAACTATTAAGGGAACATTAACATTTCAGATCCAGGTTCAGCTGGCTTTTGAAGTCAAGCATGCCTGTTTCTATTAGGCAGCCTTCCCTCACCTTAAAAACACCCCGCTTCATTTGTATGATTATTGAATGTCAGTGTACACTTGACTTGCACACACAAATGGGGAAATACATATGTACCAAGAGATGGGTTTGCCGAGTCTGCAGTTGCATAAATAGTTTTGAACTGGAAGTTTGAATTTAAATGCAATTAAAGTACAGCAGAATCTTTTTTTTAAATGAAACTCACCATACAAATTGGAGTCTGACTGTGTCAATATGTTTAGGAATCCTCCCAAAAGATTTTTTACAACTCCCTGAAAGAGAAAAACCTTTATGGTTCAGTGTCTGAACAAGTCATAAAAAATTGGAGAAGAAACTGCACACAATTAGTTTTATGAATTAGTCCAGAGCATCCAAGTCTGATTTTCAGTAATTTTTTTCATAACTGTTAAAATTTGTGACTGAATGTGTTTTCATGATTCAGACTGATACAGTCACTTCTGGTTTGTGACCTAGATACCAGATTGTGTCTTATGAAGAGACAAAAGCAGCAATTGTTAATCCACTATCAGTCTGGAAACATCTTAAAAACCAATTTTTCTTAGACTGAATTCCAGGAAGTTTCTGTATCACTGAACTGAAAAAGTGCTAGATTTCCAATGACACTGAACAGTCAAAGAATAAGCATCTGCAAACCTAAACTCAGACCTTTTATATGTAAAGTACAATCACATGATGTATTAAAAGGCCAGACAGACAGACAGACAGACAGACAGACAGACAGACAGACAGACAGACAGACAGACAGACAGCTGGAAGGGACCTTGGAAGATCATTGAGTGCAGCCCTCCGCCCAAAGGGCTGCAAGTCAGCTGGGGTCATAGGATCCCAGCAAGATAAACATCCAGTTTACTCTTGAAGGTGTGGTAACTCCTAAAGTCTACATGGGATTGTTTAAGACTTATAAAAACATTAATTTTATACTGAATATCCTATTTTGTTGAAGTGAATATTATGGTAAATAACAAAATAATGAGGATAGTTTGTCAAATTCTAAAGTATTTTTGTGGTTTACATTAGTAATATTAAAAAATTTCCCATTAACAAGTTTAAGATACAAAAAGACAAGCATAACAGTTTTGTAAATTATATTATTCTACCTGGTGCATGAGTAAAGTGGCATTTTTTTCCTTTTGTCTGATGATTTTCAAGAAACTCTCAAAAACGTGGGCAAGCACATCTAGACTTGGGTTACCAGCCAAAAGCAAGTTTAATTCTAGCATGCAGATTTCAGGATATATTAATTCTCCTTGATTGAGGCTTTCAATTAGGTCACTGGAATAACTTGAAGGACCACTGCATCCTGCTTCTGATTTAGTGTCTGCTCCTGGAAGAAAACAATTCAGGATAGTGAAACTCATCCAACTAAAAACTTTGATGCGGAAAGTCAGAAGATACGTTATATATATTCTTTAGAAGAGATATTATTTTCCTATCAGAAAATAAAAGCTTAAGGAGATTTATAGTTATAAAGCAAATGATTTCAGAAACTCCAGCTATCTTCTTCCCTGATATGTTTACTTAAAGTTTGTGACCAAAGAAATCAGAATTTAAAAAACCAAAAAACCAAACCTGAATAATTGCTTTATTTGGAAATCAATGCTAGCACAGATCCCCGTATCAGTGATAGCCTGAAAATACTTCAGCCTATTAAGACAAGTTAGGCTTTTCACTTTTTTAAAAAGTGATTATTGCTTAAAGCAAAATTCATTCACTATAAGGCAAATCTACCACTTACAAGATGTGCTTAATGGGCAGTTGCAAGTGCTTCAGGTAAACCCTGGAAGCATGAATTCCTCTTCAAAGTACATAAAAATTTGAAGTAAACTATAGTTACACACACTTCGCCAAATATTAAGACCCTGGGTGACAATTAAAACGGTACGTTTGTTCACTTTAAAAGGGGATGAAAAGCTCTGCTTAAGAGGATGCCTCAGTTGTTAGTGTAACTTATATTTGCATGCTCCTGGAACCAGGTTAGTAAACAGCCAAAATATTAACTCTTAGTAATAAAACAGGACTAACTCTGCAGTGCCTCTTCTAGGCTTGTAGTGATACAGAAGCATGTAGATAACAATTACTACATAACCGTTTACAGTGTACCATTTGATACCAATACATTTTGTAAAAATTGGTCTATAGCATATGCTTACAAAAACAGATTTTCAATACAAAAAGCGATGAAAATGGAAATTTCAACTTAGTGTAAATTAATGCATTTGATACTATTATAAAAACGTAAAATGTTTAAATTTAGTGAAAGGACAGACATTAGGCAAATTAATTTTTTTAAGAATTGTTTTTAACAAGCATGTATCTGAATAATAGATGTGCACACTAGTGGTCAATTAATATAAATATCCTTGCAAATGAACTAGGAGATCGTTTACAAAATTGTTATGATATTAACTAATAAGTTAAACATGGATGTATAAAGACAAAAACAATAGTTCTTCATCAGCTTCCCTCTCTACAGAGAGTTCTTTTGGATCATAATCAATACCACCCTTCAGCAAGGATAGCTCAACAGAACTTCAGAGCAGGTTTGACAAAAGCCACAAAACAATACACAAAGCATTAGACCTAAAAACTTTTATGTAACATTGATCTGAATTGTTGGCCTGTCCATAGCAAAACTGTTTTGAGCCATTAAAAAAACACTAAACTGAAAAATCAATTAAAAGACTCTAATCCATTCTTCCTAGTGCATTCCACTTGCATGTCAGAAAAAGTCTAGTACTCTACCCTCAATTGTGCTGCAAATATCAAGTTCATAAAACAGTCAAAGATATTTTACCTGATGCTTACAAGAACTAGCATTTACCTTCATCTTTGGTTTCACTGTCATCAGGGTTACTTTCACTATCTGCTTCATAGCCTTCTTCTTCAACAAAGAGTTTCAAACTACAGCACTGTGATTCCTCAGTTTCCTCTGAAAGATCCCCTGACTGTGGCACAGACTCCTTTTCAGTTTGTTGGTCCTGTTAAATACATATGTCAAACTTTTATGCAGTCCTTTCATTTGTACAATCCCTTCATTAAGCAAAGGAAGTGCTCTGGGATCTTCCCAATCAGTATGCCCCCACTGACGTGCTTCTAAAACCTGCAGAAATTAACTGGCCTACAATTCCTACTGGGAAGTATCATCTATAAACAATATTCACAAGAGAAATGAAGGTGGAACTACTTAGTTTCTAGTTTTACTTCTTAAAAAAAAGTGTACTTACATTTCTGTTTTTAAAATTAAAATTTTAAAATTATTCCAAAGATAATTCTTGTTGTAAACTACTCAACTAACTTTTGGGAGGGGTTCACCAGGACTTATATTAACTCAGACCTACTGACGAAGAGTAGTCAGAAGAGTTGGTTTCCAATCTAAAAAAAAAATATACACATGTACCTGAGCAAGTAGCACTATTTGTTTCTCCATTTCACCATGAACAACACTATGGGAATACTGATACAATTTATAATAGGTCTTGCAACCATTAGGGTCAATCAGCATCTCATACCAATTTTCTTCCCTTGGAAATTCCTAAGTTGGCAAATAAAACATCTCTGCTGTAGAGTGGAGGCAAATTCGCTTGGCCTCACAGACTAGATCTGGACCTGCCTCTGCCATTGGAACAAGCATTAGGAGCATTAATTGCAGCAGCATTAACCCCATCAGCTCAGGCACCCATGGGGATTAACGTAGCAGTTGCTTGTTCCTCTACTGCCAAAAATGCATCTGCAACAGGGCTCCATATCCTGGAATCTGGCAATGGGCCTCACCCACACTTGTCCCATCCCCAGCCCCTTTGGGAGCTGCCTCACAGGTCAGATGCTGCTGCTCTGTGGCCTATATCTTTGATACCCGTTCCGTAAAAATGAAACAAAAATTGTGTTTCAAGTCATTTTAGGTATATTATCCTGAATCCATACTATATCTTGCTTTTCCTCCTCTCTCAGCCTCCTTTAGAAATGAGCCCTTTGACTTATTTCTGATATAGACAGTGAAGGCAATAGGTGTTCTCAGAGTATATTTAAACAAGGCAACCATTAAGTTTGAGAGCTTAGATGCATCCATAAAACATTAACTATTAAACTACCCTGCACACACTCTCTAGAGAAGGAGCAGCACTGTAAGCCTGTTTATTTATAGAGAACTGAATATAGGTGCAAACCCTCACACAGGATTATTCTCCTTTAATCAATATTAAGACATTAGCTTCACACCTTCTCAGTTTTTTCTTCAGAATTATCCAGATCAGCAGAAAAATTGCCCAGTGCAACTTGAAGCAGTGAATCAAAGAGTGGTTTTGCCAAGTCAGTTTCAACAACTTTTGCCTGAGTGAGCTGGTCCCGTATTTCAAGTAATATATCTTCCACACACACGTTCTTCATGAGGAAGAAGAAAAGAATGTTATAACTGATACTCGGTTGTGACATGGCTCAAAAACTATGATCACCATGCATTTTAAAATTCTCTTGTCCACCTGCCATCTCTTATATAAATGGACTGAATCTTCTACCGTGTAGGCGTCCAGGCCCTGCTCCTTATTTGTATAAAGAAGTCTGCCACCACCACACATCTGGTAGGTCAAACATTTGCAGGCTGTGGAAATGTAGATATTTTACTTATCAGTCATTAGCACAGTAAGGCCGTGCTAATTAGCTCAAGTGCAGTGCCGTGCTAACTCTGTTACACTAACTCTGGACTGGGAGCAGACAGCAGCTCACCATTTCAGCCCTGCACCACTTGGCAGGTAAGTTATTAGTACAGACAGGTCCTACAGAGCACTGTACCTGCACCACTCACTGTCCCATTTTACAAATGTGGAACATGTAAAGAGGTTAAGAGCCTACACAAGTCCAGAAAGCAAACTGATGTAGAGACAGAACTAGGTGCTAGTCCACTAACTTCTAATTCTATGCCTCCATACTGCTTTTACAATGTGTATTCTCAGATTAAATACACAGAAATACTGGATAACCTAAACATCTTAGCTGCTGTACATACTATTACCATTACTATTTCAGTCCTAACTACCCACCAGGTAGTATCATTTTTTAATTTTCTTCTTGGAATATACGTGTTTAGCTGTGTTCTCCCATACCCTTTATCAGTATTTATGCTCTGCACAGTACTCTCTTAAATCAATTTTAATTCCCTCTGTATCTTTAAAACAGCCTGGTTATGTGTCAAACAGTTCCCTTTCCTTCAAATCATCTCCATTTCAGAGCCTTCCAGTGACTGACCAGTTTGTTTTAATCACAAGCATCTTTCACTATTTTACTAGATGGACCCTATGAAGACAATGCCTTAGTGGGGGCCAGACTTTTTGGCAGGCATGCCACAAATTCAGTCTCTGTCCTGCTTGAGTACCATTCTGACCCCCTTCCCAATCTGCTGTTCTGCTTTTTCCTCTTTGCCCTGTGCTCCATGACCAATCTGTACTGTGCTGCTTGCCCCTTACCCAGTCTGCCACATGCCACACAGGCTGCCAGTGCCATTTGTGGCATGCATGCAGCAGGGTGACCACCCACGTCTTCCAGGACAGACCCATCCAAATAAAGATTTAAGAGACATTTACGAGAGCTTTAAGGGAATGAAGAATACTATTTTCCCACCTCTAAAATGATTGTTGATTGATTGATTAGCAAGACAATAATGGCAATAGTTATTTTGCATTTCTCCCTTTAAAATTAACTTTAAAAAAAAGGATTTACTACCTGGTGAGGCATCTCCATTTCCAACTTCTGTTGCATATTATTTACACCATGTAGACAAATAGTCAGGAGAGCTTCCAAAAGTCTTATACTCTGAAATGCCCACTCATTCTCTTGTCTTTCAGAAGCTTCTAGTTCAGGATGAACAGGAGTACCTGAAATTTGTTCCACACTAAAAGAGTGGTCACTGGAAATATGTTCAGACACTAGTTGTCTTGTAGCCTCAGAATTTTCAACCAGACTATGAACCTCTGTTGATGCCAACTTATTTTTCTTAGTCACATGAGACAAGGCTTCTTTGAAAACAGGCTCAATTCGAGGACTCCCATTCACATTTTTACCGTTTTCAGTAAAAAGTCCCTCCTTTTTTTCTTGCTGCTTTTCTTTATTTTTGGAAAGTTTCTGGATAATCATAATCAACAACTTATGGCATACTTCAAAGCCACCCAATCTATGGAACTGCCTCTGGAAAACTGAACTGTACAAATAGATCCAACGACACATAGCCCAAATGTCTGCTGCTCTGTGGATATGCTCTGGGGAAGGTAAAACAAGGCTTTCTAGTGACAGACATGGTAGCTTGTGACTCAAAGGTTCACTAGCTGTACTATCATAGCCTGAAGTATCTTCAGAATCATTAGCTGAATCCCTATCACAATCTGCTTCTTTACTCACACACAAAAAGGCCACACAGAGGAACAAGTTTATTGTGTTGACATGAATGTCTTGGCTGATGGACTTTTTCTTCTTTGGATAAGCTTCTTTAAGGCCAGCATAAAACTTGCTCAGGCTCTGAGGAACATCTGAATTCCTCTGCTGGCTACACAAGGAAGCAGGTAGATCCAAAGTAGACTCCTTTTGTTCACTATTCAAACCTTCTAACTCTGGCATTGCTTGGTCTTTCTGCTGGTCTCCAAGGGAGAATATAAGAGTTTCAAAAACTTTCAGAGAATGAACTCTTACCGAATCCAAGTAATTTAGTTCTGTCATTTGGTTTACTCCATTACAACTTAAAAACAAGTCTCTTATTACCCTGTAGGGAAAAAAAAAGCACAGAAAAATTATAAAGTTTGGCACGAACACGGGGGGGGGGCAGAGGAAATGAAAGTATACACACAGGCAACTGAAAGAACGCGCACGTGCGCATGCATATACACATGCCCCCCTGCCTCCCACTTCAGCAGCTTTCAGAAAATGTGGGTTTATAACAACTGGGCCCAGGGGCAGATCCTGGCAAAAGTGGCACCCCCTCTCCCAACTCCAACTTTGTGTGCTGCATGCAGTCACTGGCACATCAGCTTAGGCATGTGGAAATTCTGCATGTGCAGCAAGCTCTTGAGCTCACCAGCTGGTCAGTACAGGATCTGGTTGGAGCCCCCGCTTTCACATGGGTCCTGAGCCTAGGGGTAACCACTACTGCTGTTTGCCCTTTCTTATCCTTCCTGCCACCCCCTACACCCACCTGCACCCCAGTCACTAAATTAGCTGAATTCATTGACCAGAGGGACTGGGGGCGTCAAATGATGGTGAAGCTCCAGAGTTGAATGGAAGTAGGGGCTCAATGCCACCACTGCTCATTCCCTCTTCCCCTGCTGCTGAATATGGGAATGTGGGGGTGGGAGGGTTAAACAGCAGCAGCACTCATCCCCTGGGTTCCAGAGCTGAGAGAGAGCAGGGCCTCTGGACAGACCCCATGCTGACCAGCTGGTGAACTCAGAGCCTGCAGTACACAGAGCTGGAGCTGCACTCATGTACCAGCTAGCCCAGTGCTCATCGGCATCCAGGCCCATATCAAAACTGGTACTGCCATGCCCCCTTCAGCTGTGTGGCTCTTGAGCAGTGAGCTCTCTATCTTGCTGCAATCCTGGATATACTCATGCTTATGTATTCTGGTCACAGGGTTATCAGTGAGGTCCAATGCAAATTTTCCCCTCATTTACCACCATATAAAGGATTTATCTTACAGTTCTACAAAGTTAGTTTTTGCATTATTCTGGAGTCCCAAGTCGATCATCTATTGATTGTATGTTCTTGCTCCACTATCTTATTTTGTACAAGGAATTCATGTTGATGGACCACCACAATGCACCTCATGCAGACCAGAAGAACAAGCTGTTTAGGACATTTTTAGCTTTGTTTTGGCTTTTGTTTTGCATTTAAGTTTGTCCCAGAACATTTAGCACTTTTTTAAAATTTGATATTCACTTCTTGCACTTCCTTAATTTCCCAGTCTCTTACACCATGAATTTAAAATTCCATGAAGTGACAGAATGAATGGTTTTTGCCCATAAAGTGTTCTCTCAAGAACTCAAATGTCTGATCAAGATGTAAACCAGAGCCAATAATAATTACAATCTGTCCCCTGACAACTGTGAAGTCTGTTAGAACCCTAGGTAACTAATGACATTCTTAAAGCTCCAGATGGATCAGAGGACATTACCTGCTACAAATGAAGGATATATCCTTACATGTGCTCTATTTTGTGCACACAAACTTAATCACAATGATGCTCCATGCAAAAATAAAAGCCAAAACAATGAAGTGGCAAATAATTTCTTCCTTATTTTGGAATTATGAACAATGTCAATTTAAGCATCTTTGATAAAAGATGTAATAGGACATTTAGAACAACATAAGCATTGATATTTCTCTGAAAGCTGTTCAAATACACTAAATAGACTGCCAAGAATTAACAAGCCAAACCCTACATAAAGTGGTATGTAAACCTATTCAACAAGCACACAACAGATTTAAATTGCATTCTATAGGAATATTTTAAACCCATACATATGATCATCATTCCAGATCAACAGTCTTGATGTTTATGAATCTACTGGCAAAGCTATAATTAAATAACTAGATATGTAGCATTCATTTGGTCCCCATCACTTCATGATGAAAGTGCAAGATGCACCTGCTTACATTATATTCAAGTTAATGACTGAACATTTATCATTTGTCATAGAAAAAAAACTATCTATTAATAGATACAATATTAACCAACCTGGATTTAAATAATGCAGGCAGTGTCTGTAAATAAATCTGAAGTACTTCCTGAGGCAAATATTGGCTATGATAGGTGCATATGTGACTGCACGCTGTAGTTACACCTAGTTGCTGGGTGTGATGGGCTAACTCAACTCCTCTCTGCAGCACTGGGTTATATATATAGTTATATAGCTTCCACTGAACCACAGCATTGCCCTTTTGGATTAAGTGACAAATGTGGGTCGCTATCTGCACACTGCATAATTTGTCTTCTTCAAAAATAAGATCCTGGTAAGCCTCCAAAGCATCCCATTTCAACAACATATCTTCAGATCCATTAGTAGGTAAGATCCCTTGAAACCTGTAAGAGGAACCTGAAAAACTGGATGCAGGGCCTGCATCGGGAGAGTTGCCTTGCATAGTCTCTTCTAATTCAGCAAGTTGGTCACAGTCAATTGTGCAAATATTGCAGGCTGCCTGTACAATTTTTTGAGATACTTCAGCTCCACCCAATTGATCCAATATAAACTTGTTAAGGATGCTCAAAACATATTGTTGAAAGTTTTTTAATACTGGTAATTTGGAAGCATGGAGTAATGGTGTAATCACAGATTTTGGGTCCATACAACAGCATATTCCTACGTTATTCATACCTGACAGTATCTGAACACAGGTACTGCTTAAAGAAACTTGTTGCAGCAAACGCAAGCACTGGTGAGCACAAACAGCAATGCAACAGCACCGTTCAGGATAACAGACTTCTCCATCCATGGTCTCCTCAAAGGGGTTTTTTGAAAACTGGTTTTTAAAAGCAGAAACTGGAAGCCCTGAAAGATCTCTGTGGTGATGCATGAAGTGAGAATACTCACATCGCCTATGCCTCTTTCGCGTACACATTGACTGATGAAGCTGCTCTGATTTCACTTTTTTGACAGTGCTGATTATTTTCATAATGCTATTAATTAGTTCTTTTAGATGCTCTGACGCTTCGTTAGTTATTCCCTCCTCCTTTGTGACCAACCATTCCATCTGAAGGACTACCATTTCAAAGAGTTTAAATCCTTGATGTTGTACGAACTCATGAAACAGATCCATAGCTTGACTAAAGTAGAATGGGTTAGAGGCTGCGCTCTGAAGGCAACAGATCAGAATATGCAAAACCCCTTCTAGCAGCTCAGGTAAAATAAGGGCTCTGTGACAATACTTCAAGAATACACAGTTATCCTGAACCTCCTGTAGTGTTTTCTTTTGCTTTGGAGCAAAAGGATCAGACTGCTTTTCCAAAGCAATTCTGATGTTTAAAGCTGCCCTAAGCAAATCTATTAGATTTTTTCTCAAGTTGTCAGGCATTGACTCAGAACAGCTAATATCTAAGGACATAAGATGCAGCACTGTTCTAAAGAGCATTCTTTGAACTAATGCCACAGGTTCTTCTGTCCAGCCTACAGAAACCACTTCACTTTCTGCAGAACTATTTATATTGCAACAGTCTCCAAAACCTGACAAGAATTCTGTTAATGTAGGTACTACACTCGCTGAAAGGGCAGAACTGTGATTCAAGGTAATATCAAATTTATATACTTTTTCTAACAGTGACAACAAGACATGGCACAAGTCAAATGGAGAATTGTCCATGCTGGCGATAACAGTAGCTGCAGCTGGCTCACTTAAAACCTCAGGATTTAGTTCATGTGCTGGAATGTCTCGTCTAGACTTTTCTGAATTCATAGCATCAGGATTAGCATTTGGTACTGCTTCTGCTGATGGCTGATCACACAGACCTGCAAAGAAGTTGTCCCTGGGTGGATACATTACAAAAGGCTGCAAGAATTGGGACCGCCTGTGTTTTATCATTATGGTAGTCTTGTCATCTGAATTGCCTTCAGAATCTGAAGTAGATAACTGAGATTTTCTTGCATCTCTCACTGAATAACGGTGGGTAGTCTTGCGCTGACGCCTACTTTTTCGAGAGAAGGGATATATTTTTCCAGAAGGCTGAAGAGATGGAGGAGAGTTTCCTTCTAAACTTATTTTTTCCTGAGTGGATTTCAGAGAACCTGAATTTGTCTCTTTGGTCAGGCATACATCAACTGTGAAGGGCAGTCTGAAACCTGCTGAAAGACAGGGGAAGGGAAGGGGAAGTGGGGGGAGAACAATAAAAATAAATAAATAAGAATCAGTGTATAAACAAACCTAGAATTAAACTTGCCCTTAGTGCTTTGTGCTGTAATCTGAATACAAATATATTCTGGAGATACATATTTGTTTAGTCTCTCTCAAGGGTCATGATCATGGAGTGATCTAGGATTTTGGAAAGAGATGTGCAGATAGTCCATGTCATGTTATACGCAATAATGTGCCACATATTTCCCCACTAGAAACTAGAAGCTTTACTAATGCGCTATATTACTCAATTTAAGATTGAATAAAAATATGTAAATTTATTGCAACAACCACCAATTTGATACATTATACACTCAGTTTTAAAAACCCCCAACAAACAAGGTAAAAATAGTCGAAAGACAGTGTTTCATTAGTCCTGTGGTCATTATAACTAAATATGCATCTCATTCAGATTAATAACATAAAAACTAGGCTTCTTGAACACCTTTATAATGTCTCCAATACTTCACTGTCAGTCATTTCTATACCTAAATTAATATAACCACACCTGAGTTAAAGTTTCTAACTAGAGCTAAAACCATCTTCAGGTCTTTGAAATACAAGAGACATTACCAGGAATGGCTAGCAAAGAGCAAAATTGCAAAAGAAAGGAAAGTTCGAATAGTGGAACATCAAGACCATCTGAAAAAGAGAGGGACATTAACACCAGTGAAGTGAAGAAAGATTAGTAGCATTCTGGTAGAGTATAAATGAGCCACAGAGTCAACTGACTCCCTCACTCTTACCTGGATAGAAATACCATGGCCAGGCAGCTGGTTTAAAATTTTTGGTGGAGCAAGAATTAAAGGAAGTGCAACTGTACCACTGCATCTTCCCTGCATATGCTTTACTTTTACTTTTATTCATTCTTTCAGTAAAAATTCATGACAAGTCATCACAAAATGGTTATTAGCAAAGCAGATTTAGGAATCCTATTAACCCATTTCACACCAATATGGACAAGCAAGGATAATGTTTCTGCAATGATAAAACAATCAACATCTAAACTTTCACTTTTCTCTTGAACGGAAGCACCTCATCTCTTTTTTTCCTTAAAGACAAGACATCCTACATCTGAGGTAGAAGAGGCATCTTTCTCCCTTCAAAATCTGATTCAGAAAACCCCCTCACTTTTAGGCTATGGACAGAAGTTACACATAAACCAGTTTAAGTCAAAGTAACAGAACAGAAGCTCAATGCAAATACACCAGTTTCAAAATGGCTGAATCTGGTTTAAGATAAACCTAGATAAATCAGTTACGTATCAGACTTAACTGATTTAGGTCAAACTTGTTTATGAAGCTTCTGTCCTATACCCCTTCCTGGTTCAAGTTAAAAATCACAGTCCCCTAGCATCCCAGCATGCTTTCCAACCCTGGGCTGGGCTGTGCTGTACTGTTTGCTTCAGCAGAGAAGGTGGATAGAGGGGAAAGGCAGAGACTGCCCCCCAAGGCAGCTGGGGTCTGGGAGGGGAGTTGTACTTCCCTTCCCCCGAATACAGAACTGCCCTGCCCTGCCTAAAAAGCAACTTGATGCTGGCTGCAACTGTGGACTACAAATCTCAGAGGCACCTGGAAGCAGGAAGAGGAAATGATGAGCAATCCTGCAGAGTCCTACTGCTACAATTCTGGACTGCAAATTCCAGAGACTTCAGGGGCAGCAGGAAGAGGGAGTGAACACACAGCCAAAGCTGGTTATGTGCCAGAGAGTTGTGCTCTAGCACCCCCCGCTTCTGGACTGAGCTACTGCAGGTATGAGACTACATTTCCTGAATCAGAAGTGAACATCTGTCCAGTTGATTTTCAGTTTAATCTCTGTAGCTTGGACTAACCTGCAAAGACTGAATTGGTTCAGCCTCAGGCTTTTTGACTGTCTGTACTTAGCTTTAAAAGGACAAAAACCAAAGTCAGGCTCCTAACAATCTACTCAAGACTTATCTGACCAACAGAACCAAAATATTACTTTAGGGGCCCTATACACATTCAAATTAAAGCTGGATAAAAACCAGCTGCAGAACTGTAACACATTTTCAAGCACTACTTTATAGCTGGTTGTATCTTTTTATAGCTTGACAGTCATTTTTATTGTGTGATAACTATTTTGCATGCGTGGCTTGTCTAAAATTATTCATAATTAACCAGTTAATTAAATTGCATAATACATGTAATCTGTAGCAGGGCCTATGGAACAGATATTCTGAACTCTTCTCTTGTACAGCTCCATCAAGCAGAACAGTCTTTTCACAAGAAAGTGTTTGAACAAAAGCCCATTAAGGGCATGTATACATGTGAAGGACCTCTGCTCCGACACATACTAATTAGCACATGTCAGAACTCACAATTATGCTAGTTAGTGTGCTCCAGCAGCCTCCATGTCATGCGTTGTCAGTGTTCCCGTGCTTCAAAATGGTGGTAGGGGTGCTGTAACTACAGCTCATTGGACAAGCTTTAGTTACAGCACCCCCACCGCCATTTTGAAGTGCGGGACACTGAATACACATGATGTTGTGGGTGTTTTAAATTATAGTGGCTCTCAGAGCTGTTCTAATTAAAGAGCCCTCTCTTCTACCCCAGAGCACATGTATAGACCCCCTAAGTGCTTAGTTCAAGTGCTTGTTCAGAACTCTAGAAAAACACTGTCTAATCTTAACTGATTTGGGATACCTGGATAAAAATGGCAGTTGGGATGCCCAGCTGATATTGGTGAGGGTTTACTTTTGTAGGGATTTAGGCAGGGAAGTGGTACTTGAGGGTATGGGAGAATGGAGTTTAAGTTTTGGCATTTTGTTTGGGGAATCTACTATTTCCTGTGTGTAGGTTGTTTATCCTAACCTAACATACTTTACTAAAAAGGGCATGCAGAACTACCTGAACATAACAGCCATTTACTAAAAAGATCTCTCTGCATCTAGCCATGAAGCCTATTGCAAATACCTTCATTCCTTAATGCAACCATCCTCAACCTTTTTAGACTCAAGGCACCGCTCAGAAAGTGCCAGCTCTTAGCGTTTAGTTGTTTCTCGACAACGGAAAAACAATGGAGCCATGCTTGTGTTGCAAAGAATTCAGCAAGACCACAACATCTTGTGAATCATGTGTAGCTGTTTACACATCCACTATTGCATGGTACCCTTAAAAAAGGGATCTCAAATCACGCTGGGGTGCTGAACCATGAGAATCACTGCCCTAAAGAAATGAGTTAGTCTGTAAGGTGGTCCTCCTTTTCACTACATCAGTAATGTTAGCTAGGTATTCAGATGGGAAAGTTTTATAGACTGTACATGAAGTTAAAGTTTCACACTTAAATAAGTGCAACTTTATTTTGAACTGATCTTTGCAAAATTATTAACCTATTATAGGACCACAAGAAAGCACATTTCATACCAAGTTAGGTTAGAAGTGCACACAGAGAAAGGAATCTAATAATGCAGAGGCAGCCAACAGAAGTAGTAAAGTTGCATACAAGGATTATCAGATTTTGTCTTGAAATCTTGTAAATCTATGTATGGTAACGAGACTTGAGACACAAAGAAGTTTTAATAAAAAAGGAATGTGAGAAAAACTGCAAGCAAGTTCTCTCCCTCACTGATCTAAATCTTTAGCTTTTCAAATCTATTCTGTCTTATGTTAAAGTACCCGAAAGGTAACCAGTCTGACATGTAAAACTGCCTCCCTGAAAATCCTGCATAACACATGGTTTTAAGTTCAGGCCTAGGGGTGCAAGATGATGATTGACACCCATAACTATTCCCAACTCTATTCATCTTAAATCTTAGGAATGTAACATTTTGCTTTCTAAACTTGAAAAACAAAAAACAAAAATGCAATCTTTACCCATTCGCATCCATCCAGAATGCAGTTATGAAAGTAATCCTGTCTCACTGTTCTAACCATGTCACCTTTTTTCCAGTCACTTCACTGGCTCCTCCTTTTCACAGACATAGGGCATTTGCTTATCTTCACTTTCAAAGCCACTGTCTGCCCAACACTCTCCACCTATCATTGTTAATTCAGTATCAAGACAAGAACTGTTGCTGAGACTGATGCTTGCTTCCAATCAGACCACGATGCTAACAACTACTGCCCACTCATTCAATTGTCAGAAGTACCTTCATGCTTTCCTTCCTTCCACATCCCTCTTTGCAGTTGAAGACCCCTGTAGATATCTTCAAATTTCCTTCAAATACCTCCTTTCCCTGATACTTACAAAAAAGAGTGGAACGTGAGCAAACTGATTACCAAGACCATTGCCTTTTCTGCAGGCCAATATTAAATGATCTCCTTATACACACCTATACACTTCTCGGGAGGGACCATGTTAGCATCATAACCTCTGGGAAGGAACCCTCCTTGTTCTGTTTGTACACACCTAGCCCAATGACTATCACTCCTAAGTGCTAAGGAATACAAATACCATAGGTCAAGCGTTAGCAATATTTTAGGAGGAAGATGTACACCTTTATAGACAAAGTAAGAAAGATATATAGAGAGAGTACTGGTGCTGACTGATTTCAGACTAAGATGGCTAACGTTTTAGCAGCAATGGACCAAATTAACGCAGCCAAAAGGCACGCTGTATTTGCAACCCAGCTTCCACTGTCCCCTCTCCACCCCTGCTTCCCCACACCACTGAATGTCACCAGTTACTCACAACATTCCAGATTCATGGGCTGAATGAAACTGCTTGGTGGACAGGATCCAGCTCATAGGCCACAGGTTACCAACTCTGACAGATTAATTTTGTCATGTGCAATTCCATAACAGCATTAAAGCGTACCTATTGCTTTTTCTTCTTGGACAGGTATTTTCCACACCAGTGGCAGAAGTGAGAGAAGGAGAGTTAGGAGTTCTTCTCGACATGTCAGCTCCTGTATTTGGAAACAAAGGTTTTTAGTTGGACCCTTTCATCTGTCAGACTCCAAATTTTAAAATGTTGTTTAAAAAAAAAAAAGTTTTAAAACACCTATTCAAATCCTTTTATCGTCCTCCTTTCTGCATCTCTAAAAGCCATACCAGGAAAAAAAAAAAAAAGATGCCAACACTTCTTTGTAGAGTACTATAATCTTAGACTGTAGCCAATCAAAAAGCATTGCAAGTATTTAGCATAACTTTGCAACTACTTCTATAAATATCAAAGTACTCCAAGCCCTTCATACTGAAGGAATTCCTCACCCAAGGGTGAACAAAACTATTAGATTAAAAATTGAAAGCAAATAGCTTCTGCTGATTTGAAGGGAGAAGGCATGAAACCCAAGGAAAAATTCCCCCTGGTTCCAAAACACAGTACTTTATTGGAATATTCTTTTATCCTTGCCACCTTTCCTAAAACGATGGAGTTGGGTTTTTTTAAATAAAAGTTTGAATTTATTTCAATTTAATTCATGAACTGAAAAAGTTAAATCAGTAATAGTTTGTCATGATGCATTAGCCATCTATCAGTAAAGCCAGTTAAAAAAAAAAAATCCTCTGGAGAGAACTAGAATGTGCAACACAAATGAAAACCTAAACAATATACAGCTTTAATGAAAGTATTTCCATAATCTTCAAAGCCCTATGCAAGTGTATGCTGTCTTTGCCAGAGTTTTACAAATGTCAGTTAAGCACCTGTATTAAATTGAACTAGCAAAATTTTTCTTTTTAAATTCTGAAGTTAAACTTTGGATCGGGGTGGGCAAAATACAGCCTGCAGGCAGCATCCGACATGCAAGGATATTCTATCCAGCCCACGGGGCCCTTAAAAAAAAAAAATTTAGAAACTTAAAATTTATCTGTCCTTGGTTCCTGTCAAAGATGACAGGAACCAAGGGCAGTAGGACCCAATGGAAGCACTGGAGAGCTCCTACAAGACTAGGACCCGCTTGGCCCTGCCCCCTCTTAGCCAGAAGCCCCAGCACG